TTACTTCTACAAGCATGTATACCATTAAATTTGGCCTTATAAATATTATACATACTCATACATATGTACATATACCTGTACGGGGGGCGGCGGCAGGGGGGCTACCTACTTTGCGTATTTCCCTCTTTCGCGTGGGGTTCTGCTCCCCATTAACAGCGATAAGCAAGGGATCACTGTATGTCCATTCACAATGCACGGTGTCCACAAAAAATACTACAAATTATTAAAGGGAATCACGGCATCCACCTGGAGCTGAAACAAAAGATTATCCCGTGTGGAGTAATTGATTAAATTAAGCAAATCAAAGCAGAGGGAAGAGAGGTGTGCGCAGCTTGGATGAGTGGTAGAGTGGTCGTTTCCCAACCCAGAAGTTGGTGGTTCGATCCCCGGCCATTGTGACCATGTCGAAGTGTCCTTGAGCAAGATACTGGAACACCAGTTGCTCCTGATGCTGGGTCATCAGCATGTGAATGAGCTAACAGTGTAAAGCGCTTTAAGTACTTGAGGTAGAAAAGCGCTATATAAGTGACAGCCCATTTATCATTGTAGAGAGGCCTTATAAATCAACAGTGACTGCTCTCCTCAGTGACAAGGGTGTCCAGCCGACATTCTGGTATGCAGTAATTGACAGTGATGGGTCATAATCCTATCACCAACTATAAAGATAAAAGTAGCATGATAGACCAAGTATCAAGTGGTTTTACAGAACCCCCCCCCCTCCCCCCCCACACACACACACACACCAATACCTCCTCCAGACATCAGAAAACCCCACCGGACACAAACTCACTGTAGTCACAACTGGACCAGCATCGTAACAGACAGTAAAGACAGGCAGGATGAGGAAAGCCGCATACAACATGCTCTCACCAGCTGCCAATACCCCAAATGGGTCATCGACAAAGGAAAGCAACTAGCCATGGAAAATGAACAGAAGAAAAATAAATGAAAGCAAAAACTGACCAACACTGAAAATAAGGACATAACACTTCCAAAAGTCACAGGATGAACAGAACCCATATAACATATCATATGAAAGCATGGAATTTCAAACAACATTGCTAGGATAATAACCACAGCCTATCTAGTTTAACATAGTTTACCATTCTATGTATGTCTGGCCGTTTGGGCACATTTCCTGCATCCTGAGCATCTGGCTCGTACATCTTGCCAACAGTCAGCCACACCTGATCAGTTGTAAATTGTAATGACAACATTCATCTCAATTTGTAGCACTTGCACACATTCCTCTCCATTCGAGAAGACAATCAAGACAATGACAACAATGCCATCATACAGAAGGTTAAGTATCTCCGATGCGTGTACCACGAGGTGTCAAATCCAGGTTAAAAAACTGCCACCTTTTGGCTTTGGCCACAAGTGCTTCTACTTCACACTTCAGTACTTTATCTTATCATCAATGGAACCAATAGCGATTTTAATGTTTCGCACACAGGTCAGAGTCATGGTTTACAACGTAGAAATTAAATTTAATGTGACAGTTAATAAAGACGGACATTCAGCAAACAATGGGTGACATAAAAATACTTACACGATGACTAACGACCTAATGGTGGATACATTTTAGTAGTGCAATGCATCCCAGGGACCGGAGTGTCCGAAATACAGAAGTGTGTTTTTTTTTCTTCACAAGTACCATTGGCAGTTGTCCTAAAGTGCAAAAAAATTGAAAGTTTCCCATCAATGGTCTAGGTGACTTTTCTTGTTTATTTCTTTGAACTGAATTTCATTCAACACTTAAGCGTAAAACTTACTTGTACTCTGACATGCAAACAAAAAAGGGACAGAAATGGAGCTTTCAAACCATTTGTGTACCTTTTCTCAACAGTAGTTATTTGTAATTGTGGACCCTACAGGCTATATCACAGAAATGTGTACCTTGGAGAACAACAATGGACCTCTAAGTGTAGCCATTTTATGGAAGTGCAGAATGATTGCGGGTGGCCAATGATTTGGTAAGGCAGCTGTCAAGCTGCATTATAGGAATGTAGTTTGTGTGTCATTGGCACTTTACATCACACCATCAGAAATATATTGTAGCATGTTAGAGAACCAGAGGAGGTGGCACTTACCAGCATGCTTTGAAGTCGTTACAATTACTATATTTATTTGACTATCATGCCACAATGTATTACCGTATTTTCTGCACTGAAAAGGCGCACTGGATTGTGAAGCGCACGTTCAATGAATGGGCTATTTAAATTTTTTTTTTCATATGTTGGACGCACTGGGTTATAAGACGCACTCTACAATGCATCCACTAGATGGAGCTACGCTCCTTCCGTTCGACTCGAGAGGCGTTCATGACCCCCTCCGAAAAACGTAAATTCACGATTACTTCAATGAAACTACGAAAATTGAAAATAATGCATCAAAACAGAAAATCAAGCGAGGAAATCACAAAATAAATTCTATAGCCCCCCCTTGGCATTTCTTTGAGCGTAGCTCCACCAGAACGATCAGATGTCAGTTAAATATTGGGGACTGGACTGTCTCAGAAGTGTTTGTTATTTATTCCTTTGTTATGTATTCACAAACGAGGAAATCACATAAATTCTGTAGGGGTACTATAGAATTTATTTTGTGACAGAATTTATTTTGTGATTTCCTCGCTTGATTTTCTGTTTTGGTGCATTATTTTAAATTTTCATAGTTTCATTGAAGTCATCGTGAATTTACGTTTTTCGGAGGCGGTCATGAATGCCTCTCGAGTCCAACGGAAGAAGAGAAGGCACGGAGACGGACAAAGACGTACCTGTATCTTTTGAGACTGTGAAAACCATTAATCAAGTGTGCGTTTTAAAAAACCAACACCACAGCTCTCTTTTTTTCGGAACTGCAACAAAAACCTATTTAATAAAGCAGCGACACAGTTCATTGAACCAACAGCAAGTTATAACATTGTAAGCATGCCTCCAGCAAGGGGCCATTTTGGGGTCGACATATTACCGTAATGACCATACACAAGGCGCATCGGATTTTAAGGCGCGCTGTGAGCTTTTAAGAAAATGGAAGACGTTCGGTGCGCCTTATAGTGCGTAAAATGCAGTATTTTGTTCAGTTCTGGCATCCTAGATAAAGTGGTGTTGTTTCTAGTCGTGTACAGTTTAATTATTATTACTTTTGGTGGCGGGGAATCCGCCAACTTGAGTTAAAGCGTTAATGCTACTCATGACACTCTGGTCTCTTGAAACATGAGTGAAGTTGGAATCTGAGCTACATTTGGGCTTTAACCAGAAGATTTACTCCTATTTTGAAAGCTCATTTAGCTGTTAGAATTTAAAGGTTCAAATGTTATGGATATTAGATCACATATACCTAAGCAGACAGCTGATAGGAAACATTGTCAAGTTAGGTCTGCACATTTTTGCAAATGCAGAGGTGGCCATTCCGTCAGTACTGACGGAAAGTCCATCAGTCCGGACGCCCATTCCGCTGACGAATGACAAGAAACTTCAAACAAAGATGTACTAGCCACAGAAGGAAGTAGGTTTTCGTCCAGCAATGTAATTGTCACTAACCGGGTCAAGGACAGATGGACCTCTCAGCCCGTCATTGACGGACGCCTGTTTCACTGAGAACTGATGGAAACACGCCCGCCTGTCTCGTATGTGGTCGGTGGGTTGTTTAGATGACCTCACTGACTATATATGTGTGTGAGAGTACTCCGGTTTTCAAAATGATCTCTGCAGGGACTGTGATGGCTGGCTGTGACTGGCTGAGGAGGTGGAACTGGATGAGGTCACTTAAATCTCCAATCTTTGTTTGAGTCGAAGATTTTATGTATGTGTACTTATTTGCATTTAAACCTTTATGGTTTTCTGTGAAATGTCGGTGAAATTATTTCTGTCAACAATATTTTGTAAACAATTACTTCCTGTTTGAGAGGTTCGCTGGATGGTAGAAGCAGAGCGATAGAGCGAGACGGCAGCATTAAGTCATGTGATGGACTTTTAATATCTTGGCTTTATCTCCGACTGGGTTACAAGGCACATACAGTATCTTACATTTTGTTTATTTATTGAATGTTTGAGTCAAATAGATGATGGTAAATGGTGATTGTAAATACGATGAAATATCATTGTTTTAGTTGTCACGGTATTTGGTGTGATTCAGTTTGTTCTGCGAATGCAAGTGATGTTGAAAATAATAGTAGAAGAAGGAGAAGAAGAGCTGCCGGACCTTAAAGAGCAGTGGCGAACTGTAAATTTAGTCGTGAGTAACAGTAATTTCATCTGTGGCTAACTGTAATTGAGCAACGAAGGAAGGGCTGTTAAGGTGACGGTCATTGAGTGATGGAATAAGTGCGGTCAAAATAAGAATGACGGAATGAGGGACCGACGGTTAGTTTGGTTCGTCCTGAATAACGATGGACTGACGATAATAGAAGTGTGGCCCCTGATGAATGACAAACTAGCAAAATGTACTAACGTACCCAATTCTGTGTATATGTATCTCGACTGATAATCTCTATAGGCATTTGCACAGTCTCCTTTAAAAAGCAGATGTCATCCCAGACACCATGAAAAAGAAGACTGAACTCAGTTGAATGCAGCTCATACTGTGCATTATGTGGAACTCACTCAAGGAAGCGTGTAATATACTGCCGGCTGCATCTGGACCACTTGGGCAGCAAGGTCCCATATAGCAACTGCGGGGACATGATGAAAGGTTTTTTCCCAATGGGTTCACAGTCGTTACCGTTGCCATCATGCTGAATCCCAAAACTGTGGAGAAGCACAAAATCAATGTAGAAGTTATCTGGGAAGTACAGATATACACAATTTCTGCTCCCTCATCAATATTCAACAGTGCGTTAGATTAAATGTTTCTGTAAAATTTCCCTATGGTGCTTCACTAAATTACAATGCCATTTTATTGTAGCGTCTTGCTGTTAAAGCTAAATTGAAGATGTAAGTTATCAGCGACACAGTGCTTCCCCTGATTGGATTCAAGTGAAATTATTCAAACAAGAATGCGATGGTAATTGAAAATGGGGTGGATAGAAATTGGTTCACATGCTGAAAAAATAAATATATAAATAAAAAAGGCAGTATCATATACTGCATACATAGTGGACACAGATACAGATTAGTGCGTCTATGGACTGGAACATGTTACTGACCAGGATTATGTCCACGCTCAGTTTCAGATTTGAGTTGGCCTCTGAAGAATATTTATATTGAAACCAGAGCGCTGTCTACTGAACTGAGTGCAAAAATGAACTCAGCAGGAACATTTTCTCTGCCAATTTTAAACAAGCAAAGAAACCCAACTAATTGGGAGAGCCTTTATCATGCAACAAGAAAATGACACAGAACACCACCACAGAGGATTTCATTTGGGGAAAGAAATAGAAGGTTCAAACTCAAGATTTAAAGCATGGAGAGCACATTTCTCAACCATCGGGCCCTGGAACGGCGCAGACCCATGTGCAATATGGCACCAGGTCGCACAGAGAGACTGAACAAAAAAATAATGGTGAAAAGATTTATGTCAAGCTGAACTTTATTGCAAGTATTTTTTTGCTTTTATGAGATCTTAAAAATCCAAACAGAGGTGTTCTTCTTCACAACATAACCGACACTGAAAAAGAGGATTTGATGGCGAAATAATTTATTTTCAAGTATAACTGCAATATTTACAATTTTCAAATATTAGCAAACTGTAGGAACTACCTACAATTATGTCCGTGCGAGTGTGCATCAATGGCTTTGTGTGCGCGTGTGTGTGTGTGTGTGTGTGTGTGTGTGTGTGTGTGTGTGTGTGTGTGTGTGTGTGTGTGTGTGTGTGTGTGTGTGTGTGTCATCCACAAAATGTTGGAGTATCTTGTCTGTGAGAAACAGCTACCGAAAGTCAACAGGATGGTGAGAGTGCAACTCTGCAGGACCTCTTTTGACTTCCAGCTGGCTTGAGGTCAGCCTGTGATTTATAGAAAACTAAACATTGACCAACAAATAAAGATTTTTTTCCAATGGCTGCAGTGTCATGCGGAGAAAAAAAAATTCTGCTCTGCCAACGGGAGTGTTAAGGATCTTCCTGCTGGATGCACCATCTGTGGTTTGTAGAAATATATACAATTATAATTACCTAAAAATATTTTTATTGCTGCAGAAACAATCCATCCATTTTCTGCACCGCTTCCATTCTTGTACTTTTCTACACGGACACACATCACAAAATTTCCTGCACTTTGTTCTGCACTCATATTTACAGACATTTTCTGGCTGAGTGATGATTCAAGATATATAAAGTTTGCACGCGAGTAATTTACTCTTACTTCCTTCTTGCTTATCTGCACACCACGTTCCATATTTTTGTCCGCATGTACACGGTGCATGATTGTCCACAAATTATTACTAGCAACAAATGTTTAGCACAGCGAAATAAATGGTGTGCATGTGACTGCAGGAGGGTGTGATCGATTTGAGTTACGACATTCATTAGCTTGTGAGAAACGTAGCACATATTTCCGTCGCTACTCTCGGGGACGAGTCACCTGTGCGTTACTTATGGATCATGGCGCAGCTTGTTTTCCTTGGCTGTTTTGAACCAGTCCAACTTAGGATTGTCATTCCTTTTTCTCTGTGATCGACGTCATCATCCTTGATGATGACGTCTTAGGCTTCTGTTATGCTCCAAATAATACTCTGCTCGGGCATCAGCCATCTGTAAATCTCCATTCTGTAGTATGTCCCCCTCCTTCACTTCAACCCATCCCTCAGCCTGCTGCTTCTTTTAGTTTTTCACGTTGGCTGTGCACCCATCCACCACACTGCTGCCATTCAATGGTGAAATGGCCTCCAACCTTGAAAATCACAGTTGAGACGGCCCAGGGTTTGAACCGCTCATCTCGGTTAAAAAAAAATCCTTTGGCGACTTTTTTGTTTGACGAATGTATTCGTCCAAGGCAGTGAATGAGTTCAATAAATTCAGCCGAGATTAGGAGTGATGTGATTTTCCATTATTATTATTATTGCACTATTGAGGCGCTGTCAACTGTCTCACTTTGCACTGTATAAACAAAAATATTATCAGAGTTACTGAGAGCCGAGAAGCAATCATATGTCTTGGATGGATAAAGTGTTGTGGACCTCTTTTTCACATCAGGATTTTCTCAACAGTGTATTTCATTGGAAGAAAAGGAAAAAAAATGATCCACAACCATCTATAAGACATTGGACTTTTTTTTTTCTGTGACTACAATTTCGATATAACATCGCACACAAAATGGTCATTTGTTGCCTTGAAATAGGCATCATGTGTGCACAAAATACAAACCCAATTGCATTGTGTTAAATCAGCATGAATACAAACAGAATACAATGATTTGCAAATCTTGTTGAACCTACACATATGTGAATACAACTACAAAGACACTATATTTAATGTTCAAAATCATAAACTTTCTTGTTTGAGCAAATAATCATTAGCTTTGATAATTTGGCTGCAACACGTTCCAGAAAATCTGGGACAGGGTCATGTTTACCAATGTCTTATATTGTTTTTTTTTTAACAACATTCAATAAACGTCTGGAAACCAAGGGCACAAAATGTTGAGGTTTTATAGGTGGAATTCGTTCCCATTATTGCTTGACAGTCAGGGGTTTCTGTTGTCATATTGTATGCTTCATAATGTGCCACAGGTCTGGACTGCAGGCAAACCGATCTAGTACTGCACTCTTTTACCACAAAGTCACGTTGTGCATGTAACACATGCAGAATGTGCACATCACCATCCAACGGGTGAACAGTATCTACGCACTAAATAACTTTAAAAATATTAAAAAAAATTACAATTAATTAAATAACAATACATTGAGCTTTGTAATTTTAAAGCATGAAAAAATATATATTTCATAAGATGATAGGAATGTCACTTCTTTGGTACGAGTTCAATATCTCAATCATATCGATACTGCAATATTCAACAGCTATAATGCATATCACGTTTTTCCCAATATCGTGCAGCCCTATTTATATGTTTGTTCGTTTTCCTGAATGTCTTTGTAGCTTGCTCACCTCAAAAAAGAAAATTAAATCTCACTAATATATCCCAGTTTATGGTCCTAAATCCTGCCTTCTACCTTACCATTTCCATAAGAGAAGCTTTTAATTTATTGAACCAACTGTCCAGTAGGGAGCTACAAATGTGCAATAATAATGGATTTTTTTTTTCTTTTAAGTGTACCATGTGCCCCCTTTTCAACTTCGATGAGCAACTACCCTTTCCAAAAATCTTTGCACACCACTTTACGAAACTATACCTTAAATCTAGCTATGTAAAAAAAACAAAAAACAAAAACAGTGTGCAACATGTGCGTCTTGGAAGCTTACTTGTGACCCAGCTCATGTGCAACAGTGAAGGCTAGCGGCAGGCCGGTGTCCTCACTAATACTGCAGCTGCGATGTGATTGACACATCCCTACCACATGGGACAAACCCAGCGTTTCACACGGCATGTTGATGGATGCACAGATGTCCTTCCTGTGGAAATAGAGGATGCAATCTCAGATGTCCAAAAGGAAAATCAATTTGAACAACCAATGTCATTCATACCTATTTAGTATGTACAAACACTCTTCGCTTACTCCACTGAGAGTACTGTATTAAAACGCATTTACTGGCAATATCTTTCTAACACAATTCTTTATGTGGCCAGACAACTTTTAATTAGCAACAACAGTGATTTGAAATGAAACAAACAATATGTGATTCTATAGACAGTCAACTTTAATCAAGAGGTTTCACAAAAATCTGTCATTTATCATTTAAGAACAAATCTACATAATGCTGGCTCCTTTGTCAAAATTTGGTTTAGTTCACATTTTTTCACAAATCTAGAATACTGGTCAGTCCACATATTTTGAACAACTTGTTGAACAATTTAAAGCGCAGAGAAAAATCTTATTATCGTTGAGGACACAATATTTATGGTTGAACAAATGTGCCGTTTTTTGGGGTCGCCTGAAAAGTCATCTGGTGGCTCAAGGATTCTGCCAGACACCAGCGATGTGTGTCAATTTGTTTCTCATACTGTCTGTCTGGAATCACACTGTTAAAGGTGTGTGAAGAAAACAGAAGGAAAATAGACAGTTGTGTCCAGAAGTATTTGGACCCAGTTCCTACATCCACCATCACAATGTAACATAAATGAAAGAATCAAGCTGTGAATGGCTGTGATTGGCTGGCAACCAGTTCAGGGTGTCTTCCACCAACTGCCCGAAGACAGCTGGGATAAACTCCAGCATCCCCCGTGACCCTTGTGAGGATTTGAAAACGGATGGATGGATGGATGGAAGATGTGAATGAAGAAGAAACATTTATCTTTAATTGAAAAAAAAAAAGGTTGACAAACATTTATGCAGTGCTCCTTCATTGCGGGGGCTTTGAACCATTTGGCCAAAGTCACATAATTGGAGGAAGAAAAAAAAGTCCTGCTTGCCTATGGACCTCAGCCTATTTGAAGCTTCCATTCGGGCGATGCTTGTTTGCAGCCACCTGTTTTGTTTTTTTTATCTGGCTGGCCTCATTTTTCTAGTCATTCAGAGCCAATTTCTCTTGTTGTATGAATCTTTTTTTTCCATGCCTGGGTGGCACACCTTTCAGCTATAGCTTTCAATACACCCACTGTGCAGAACCTGGCATTGTGTGCACAACCACCAAAGAGGTGTGACTCATTGACTTCTGAGGTTGGCTGTTAATCACTGAACATGAAGTTTTTCTGAGATTTGTTCATGTCATGAAGATCCATTTGAAAAATATAATGCACTTTAATTATGAAAATACCTTCCAGAGCAGATGTGTCATCGCCAGTGAGACTTCCTTGCGCAAGTTCCGTCTAACATGATACAATTTGAAGGAGATATGAATCCAATAAGCATAATTTAATGAGGCCACTGTGCTTGTGACTGAAAATGTTTGGAGGTCCATCAGTAAAAACTCTGACATTCTATAGCTCATCGGTACCCAGCAACCTTTCTTGCGCCACAGACCAAGCAAGTCACTTCAACATGTTTGACGACCAACAAAGAAGCAAATACTAACTAATGATTCAATATTTAACCTTCCACTGGGCCATTACGATGATCGCTAGGCTTGTATTAGTGAGCCCTGCTCTTGAAAAAAACTCCAAACCATCAGCAGCATGTTGGAAGCAGAAAATCTATTTTTCGCCAGTTAATTCATTCAATGCCAAAACGTAAAACTATGTTTGCAAAAACACTATAATTTAGTGCCAAAACATATGAATATGTTTTGGGTGTTTTTTTTTTTTTTTTTAATTCAAAAATATTAATAAAGCGCTTCGCGCACAGGCGGCCCGGTGGTTAACCGCTTAGCGTCGGCCTCACAGTACAGACACGCAGGGTTCGATTCTGGCTCCGGCCTTCCTGTGTGGTGTTTGCATGTTCTCCAGGTGACTGTGTGGGTTTTCTCCAGATATTCCGGTTTCCCCCCCCCACACATTTCAAAAACATGTTTGGTAGGTAAATGGAACACTCCAAATTGTCCCTAGGTGTGAATGTTTGTATCTGTGTGCCCTGTGATTGGCTGGCAACCAGTTTAGGGTGTACCCCGCCTACTGCCTGTGGGGTCCAGCACGCCCGCGACCCTCATGAGTATCATCAGATTAGAAAATGGATGGATGGATGGATGGATGGATGGATGGATGGATGGATGGATGGATGGATGGGGAGAGGCTAGAAATGAAGTGGCCAAAGCACTGAAAAGGGAGGGAAAAAAAAATCAGCGGACACATGGTCCCACTAAAAAAGTAACACAAGGAGGAGATTTGTGGCGAGAAGTGTATTGACTACCTGAATGGAATACTGTACTTCAAATGGACGTGGGAGCAACAACATCAACCTTTAACAAACTGCCTGAGTGTTATCGCTCCTTTCATCCATAAGCTACAACATCGTCTATACCCACCCCCTCTTACACTCTTTACTGGGTAACTTTTCACTTTCATCTCTGCTTCTACAAGGGCATCCAATTGCACAAAACGTGCTTCAGGTCATTTTCCCGCCAGTAAAGTTCACCCGTCTTCTTGCGCAAAGCCTTTCTTTACCTGGTGAGCAGAACGGCTACATCGTGGTGCAGAGGATGATCGTCTCCCTTCATGTTGAGTCGTTTCTGCCACTTGCAAAAGCTACTCAGGCTGTTGTCGGCATGGTGAGTAATCTTTAAGTCGACCTGTAGAGCAAATGTCAAAACGTAAGATACGGTACAACATATAAGGTCAAAGCTCCGAAGAAAATGGACCAGAAGTAGCAAAATGTCTTGTTGGTCACTGCAGAGAGAAAAACACAATGTTTTCTGACAAGATGCACTAATTGTTTTAGTTTCAGCCACATTAGACCATAATGTTTGAACCCCCGTCCCCAACATGCAACCAGGCTCTCATAACATCAGAAAGATAAAGTACCTTAGCGTTTATAGCTGAATCCATGCTGCTATGAGTAGATAAAAGAATTCTTTTTGGGTAATTGTTCAAAACTATCAACACAAAAAGCACAGATGTGTCGCCTGAGATATGGGGTGGACTAAATTAATATGGTTATCTCAATAGAAATTGTTGACTTCATGCATTGAAAATAAACAGCTCACTGCAATACTGAACTTTTGTGATATAGCAATGGACAAAATGGTTGTTCTAACTTTTCTTCCACAGGTCCTCCCAATACATAAATTTGAGCAATTGTAAAATAGCTAACACATTTCAACATTTGTTGCTTGCAATACAGATCCATCCCGCAAGCTATTCGCAGCTCACAATTAAATTAATGCAAACAATTGAACACAGATGGCGGCCCGGTGGTCCAGTGGTTAGCGCGTCGACCTCACAGTGCAGAGGTACCCGGTTCAATTCCAGCTCCGGCCTCCCTGTGTGGAGTTTGCATGTTCTCCCCAGGCCTGCATGGGTTTTTTTCTCCGGGTACTCCGGTTTCCTCCCACATTCCAAAAACCTGCATGGCAGGCTGATTGAACACTCAAAATTGTCCCTCAGTGTGAGTGTGAGTGGGGGTGGTTGTTCGTCTCTGTGTGCCCTGTGATTGGCTGGCAACCAGTTCAGGGTGTCCTCTGCCTACTGCCCGAAGACAGCTGGGATAGGCTCCTGCACCCCCCGTGACCCTTGTGAGGATAAGCGGATTGGAAAATGAATGAATGAATTAAACACAGGCAGCATGGGTGCGGTTAGGACGTCTGTCTCACAGCTCTGAGGTTCAGTGGTCAAATATTTTTGACTTCAACCTTTAAGGTACTGTATAAGGTTAGCATGTGAATGTGCTTGTGTGGCTTTTCTCCCAGTATGTCTAAAACATAGTTCTTAGGCTAATTGAAGGCTCTACTTCATTCATAGGTGTGACTGCCAGTGTGAATAGTTGTTTATTTCTATGCGCCCTCTAATTGGCTGACACCCCTTTGAAGGTGTTCCCCACCTTTTGTCCAAAGTCAAAATGGACCTGGACAGAATTGTTATCAGAAAGAAACTACTACCATGCTGGCTTTGCTCTGCTTTTTGCAGATGATCTGGTTCTGTTGGCTTCATCATGCAGCGATATCCAAATCTCGCTGGAGTGGTTCACGGGTGAATAGGAAGCGGTTAGTCTGGGGATCGGAACCTCCAATCTGAGGCCATGTTTCACAGTCTGAAAAGGGTGGAGAGCCCTCTCTGGGTTCCGGAGGAAGACTGGAGTGGGAGATGGTGAGGCAGAATGGTCCAGCCTTATTTTCCAGCTGAGCCAAAAGGTAAAGCTCTGGATTTAGCGGCCAATCAATGTTACCACCCTCAGCGATTGGTCACGAGCCATAGGTCGCTAAAGCAGAAATAATGACTTCATCCCCCTCGCAAGTCACAGCCCATTGAGGAAAGTCTGTAGCTATTAATGGCCACTCACCATTGTTTATTCTTTGTATTATTTCGTTTGTTTGTTTGTTTATTGAACATATACAAATATACAGTACAGTAATAAATTGACAGAAGGTGAAGCTAAGTAATATTTTAAGAAAGGAAAAGAAAAGTCATCATACTGCACAATTATATGTAAAAAAAACGTATCTAGTCCTACCCCTTGTTATGTAATATATATAAATTGATCATTTTTCAATCAGAAAGTAAAGGAAAAAGTCTGCATATCAACAAATGCTTTTACCCTTATATGTGCTATACTTATCTATTTTTACAACTTTCGGTTTGCATATACATACACATTCTAGCACATTTATATGTCGATTTTCTCGTATTCATAATGGATATTGCATTTCATTACTACATTTAATAAATTTATCAATGTAATTCTGATGTATTACTAGATTTAATAAATGTATCAAATCTATCATCTTAATTCTAATTGATGTAGTTTTTTTGTACTATTCTCTTGAATTTGTTTTTGACTTCAGCAAGAGAGTCACTCATTTTCAGGTCAGTTTCAAACTTATTCCAGAGTAACACCGATTACAGATATACTTCTTTGCTTGTTTTTTTTTTTGTTTTGTTTTGGATATTTTGTATAGTTTGGTACCCCTTAAATTATAGCAACTTTCTTGAATTTCGAAAAGCTTCCAGATGTTTTGGCAAAGGAGGTTTTTGTGTGCTTTGTACATTAATTGGGCGATTTTGAACTCAACCAGGTCATGAAATTTCATCGTGTTTAATTTGATAAATAGTGGATTCGTGGGTTCCGTATATTTAGATCTAGTGATAATTCTGATTGCTATTTTTTTTGTAGTTTTAAAACAGGGAGTGTGTTTGTTTCACAGGCGTTTCCCCTTTGGGCAGTAGGTGGGCTACACCCTCAACTGGTTGCCAACCAATTACAGGTCACTCATATATATTTAAGTATTGTTTCGTCACTTCATTGCTGTCTTGCGGTGTTTCGTGTTCTATGAATGGAAACACCGCTCCACTGGATGGGTCACTTGCAAACGGAGGGTCAAAACATCATTGCCATTAAAATGGAAATGGCTACTTGGGCCTCCGGTGTAAATCAAGCCTAAGACACCTTTTTGATGACTGGCTTTGATCACGAAGCTGTGGGAAGCCAACCATTTTACCTGCTGTGTTAGGTATAAAAAAGCGAAGAATGAATGTCATTTGTTTTTCACCTTGAGGCAGCCTAGAATCAAGGTCTCTCAAATGAGCAGGGACATTAGCAGTCTGTGGAATTGGATTTTGCATTGCAATAAAAACAAAATAAGGACAAAGTATTTTACCTCATCCTGCTCCAGTAAGATAAGTCGAACCACAACAATGTTGATGGCGTTTCCAATACTCGGATCTTGAAAAAGACCTGCTACCTGGAACCCAAAAAAATAAATACATAAAGAGACATCAGAGGTGGCAGTATATATTTTCACATCTCGCGGAACATTGGGAAGGACGGAATACAGAAAATCGAATTGTCATTAATGTTACTCAATTAGTTCTATTCAATATTAAACACGCAAAATAATCCTGAATGAAAAAGAATAGACAATCATGTTTGAGGGATTTCAAAACAATGTCAAAATCCTGATCATATTTGCATGGCACGTATAGTGTGTGTTCAATTTCAGTGTTCTACTGACTTATAAATCCCCATCTGCATGCATATGCCATCATGGATTCCTTCTTAGGGAGGAATTGATCCCCATTTAAAATGGGATTATTTCATGCTGTTTTAACAATTTAAATCTGGGCTAGTGGCAGGCTGGATTGGATGTTTCTTGCACGGCAGGTATGTCCAAATTAAAAAAAAAAAAAATCCTTCACTGTGTGTTTTGGTTGGGTCAGAGCGTGTGGGCATCTGTGTAATGTAGGTGGCTCATGCATTTATTATTTGTGTATTTTTGTTATTCAAGGGGCCCAGTTCACATGGATTGTGCATGGAAATGCCTGAAACATGTATGGGAAGAGTATTTAACATTTACAAGCCAGGTTTGACAAACCAGAATTAACATGAGAGATACCAAGATCATTTCTCCGACTAATCGTAATTACATTTGGAATTCTTTCATCTGTAATCTTAATCTGTTGATTTTTTTTGTTTGTTTATGCTCAATACACACATGAATAGTTGGAATTTCCATTCAAAATATCTGTAGCGTGACTGTCACTCTTTAAGGCGACATTTGGAGTTATCTGAAATTCAATTTTGCCAAAAACGATTGAAGATTGACAATGTATTCCACGAGCACAGTACTTTTGCATTTATTGTGAGGCGGCATGTCAGTCTGTATGCAAACCACTAGCAACAACATGGGAAACAAGTTGAACCTCAAAACAAAGTTCATGCCGAATTTTGCAGCATACCACAGCATCGGCTGAAGGCAACTGCACACTGCTCTCACTCTCTCAGTGAGCAGCGCATGTATGCAGCACATACAAAAAAAAATTTTGAACCTGAGCTATTTTGTATTTTCATATTCTCCTCATAAAAAGAAACTGAAAAGTTTATTCCACAAATGTGGGAGAGACAAATGCAAAAAAGACTTAAATGCAATACCGTTGTCCCCCCGCCCCCCCCAACAAAACAAAAGGAAACAGACACAAAACCGACAAAACTAAAGGTGCCCAAAAACTGGATTACATAGGTGTAACATTGAGTACGAGTAACATTAGTATAAATATTAGATATAGCTATATAATTATTGGAAGTCATCCTCCTAGAACCCGCCTTTTACACTTTCTCCTAATAATTACTTTTTTCCACATAAAAATGATTCTGGCGAAATCAAAGCTGAAACCCACATTGATCTGAAAGACAAAAAGGCTCAAGGCTGGTGCACTGTACAGGAAGGCAAAACAATCAAGCAAGGTCAGAATGGCATAAAACAAGAATAGCTCCAGCAGTGAGGGGATGTGAAGTGATTTGCATTCTGTAAACTCAAACTCTGCAATGTCTTCTCCTAACTACACTTTTGAGTTGAAGTGAAGACTGCGTCATGTAACTCTCCACAATACTGTTACATGAAAATCTGCTTTCACTCAAGTGTTCACTCAAGCTAGCTTGTCAAATCAAGTAACAGTATGGTGGCGCTGAAGTGCAAATCACAAATACGAATAACTATCCATCCATCCATTTCCCGATCCGCTTCTCCTCGCAAGGGTCGCGGGGGGTGCTGGAGCCTGTCCCAGCTGTCTTTGGGCAGTAGGCGGGGGACACCCTGAACCGGTTGCCAGGCAATCGCAAGGCACACAGAGACGAACAACCATCCGCACTTACATTCACCCCTAGGGACAATTTAGAGTGTTCGATTAACCTGCCATGCATGTTTTTGGAATGTGGGAGGAAACCGGAGAACCCAGAGAAAACCCATGCAGGCATGGGGAGAACATGCAAACTCCACACAGGAAGGCCAGAGCCGGAATCAAACCCTGCACCTCTGCACTGTGAGGCTGGCGTGCTAACCAGTCGACTACCGAGCCACGCTACAAATAACTAAAACATAAAAAAGGTAATCACAAAAAACAAACAAAAAAAACAAGAACTCCCCCACCACCCAAAAAAAAAAAATAAAAATCCGAACCACAACAGCAAATCAATAATCACAAAAACAACTAAACAGGTTCATGGCAAAAAAAAAAAAAAAAAATCAAAAAAACACAAAAACAAAACAGCAAATCAAAAATGACAAATACCAATAATTATATAATCAAAAACAAACAAAAAAAAAACAAAACAACAAAGGAAAAACTAAACAGCAAACAAAAAACAAACAAATTAACATGATGAATCACAGCAAGAAGGCAGTGGGAGGGTGGGGGACAGACTCACGGCTGAGTGAATGAGGGACAAGTTGATTGGATGTTTGCAACTTGGTTCATTTGTTTATTTGTTTGTTTAAAGAAATACTTTACGCAATGTGCATCTCTGAGCAGGAAATTATTCTGTGCAATGTAATTTTATCAAAAATGAGCGCAACCAGTGATTCCAACATAGGTGCCGTTATCAAAGAATGTTTTGATTCTGGAGATACATAAGGGGTGATTATGGATCCGTTCAGGATTTATCACACGCACGCTTCAGACACATTTAAAAGAGATTGGGCTGCAGGGACGGCAAAACTATTCTTCGCTACCTGAGGTGAGGCGTGCCTTCTGATGGAGCTGCAAGGACCAAGACAACTGCTCGGTTATCGGACCAGGTGGCAAGTTCTTCAACAGAAACACCACTTCCTCATGAAACATGATATTATCATGATGCTGTTGAAGCAAAGAAATCGTCAAAAGCCGGCCGGCACTGATAACACGCAGGAGGTTTATAAGATGGCCGTCTTACCTCAGGTAGCGAAGACTAGTTTGTTTTGTTTGTGTGTTCATGGTTTCCTGTTTTTTTCTCAGGTAGCGAAGACTAGTTTGTTTTGTTTGTGTTCAAGGTTTCCTGTTTTTTGGCCATGGGGGTTGTTTAATTGTTTGTTTTTGAATTCACACATCAAGGCCACAGGAGAACAGGCACCCTAATGACTGCAATTCACGCGAGATTGTTGAATGGACATATGGATCAGATTTGTATTTAAAATACTGTATAACAGATGCTTATGCACCAATTGGTACGTGCAGAGCTCCCGCGGCTCCCTTTCAAGTGGCTGACGGCTACTCCCGCCCCAATGTAATAATCAGGACAGTTTTCCCATTGTTACTATCAGTCTTATTTTCTTTTCTTTAGTACGCTCTATAAAACAAATAAGAATTCCAGCTTTGTCAGCCTCTGGGCCACATGGTCTCCATCTGCATGACATCCTGAGGTTTAAATGTGCCCTTTGAATTCAACCAGCATAATTCTTCTATTCATTGGCTTCTGGTCTGGCCTCCATTTCGGTTTTACAGTAGAGGTTTAGTGTCCCGGCTGTTGCATGTGTGTAATGACTCACAGCGTACAGCTGAGCTGCAGGAACACAACACACTTCTGAAGCCGACAACCTAAACACAGTGTCAGTAGGTAGACAATTGAACATCTGCTCATTGAGGAAGTCATTACTTATTGAAAGGACAGGGACAAAGGTGGGGAGTCTGGACGCTGTGCAAGATTGTTTTTATAAATGCAAACCATTCGCAGCTTGGCGGTTCAAAGCATCAGAGCATATGTGGGATAATGACAGCTTCCTCAATCTATTATTGTCTACAAAAACCAGAAGCTTTTCAGTCAGCGTACTCTCTTTCCTTCCCTGACATTCTGACTTCTGACAGTAGTTTAATTAGCTGCGGTCAAAGCAGACGTGTAGTACTGTATTTGGCAAAATCATTTCGCTGTTCATCTGTAATGCACGCCAGTTTACTGAACTCCAAACATGGAGGTAGTAATTACTGTGACTATAAAAGGCTAGCGAGAGTGAGGAAGGAAAAACGGCGGAACTAACCACTCAAGTAGCTAAAACATTGATTACTTACTGAACAACGATTATGTTTTACTTTTTAGTGCCATTCTCTTTGGGAGGTAATGATTTAACAGTAAGTTCATAAACGTGAACAGCACGACATCAGATTGAGAACTGTTTCCAATGTGTTGTGCCTTTCATATCCCCACAGGCAATGAACATACAAAGTCTTAGAAACGGGAAGCTGCATTGCAGTTACTACTACACCACAATCTCAATAGTGAAGACACTGCTAAATCAATATCGATCACTAAGCATGACTTTGACATGGATATGTGTGTATTTATACAGCTCCAGCGTAAATGCTACCATATTGGTTTTATGATATTGATTCAGGAAACGCTAAACTCAAATGTGGTTTCTTTTAAGAGTTACACATCTTTTAAATGCCATGCCTTTATTTTTAGGAGGCCGCCAATCCTCTGTCTCACAGTTTACAGACCATGCAAGCATTCCATCTCTTATCAGCGGATTTTCGGAATCATTATCAATCATACATACCATCTGCAATAAGCTTTTAATAATGGTTAGCTTAATCGGCATATTAACGCATCTGACAAAATGCTCAGAGAGGTTTAAAAACTGCTAGGCTACATAAACAGCTTGTCACACAGGCTACCAAAAACAGAGGGAGTGCTGTGGAACTCATTATGACCTGCGGCCAATCATCCGGTGCGACCTCTGCTGTAGAGCTGTCTCTGTCTGACCAAGACTGAAGGTTTTTAACATCGCCAGTTTGAACCCTCAAAAGGCCCCGGTGGGAACGGTGCGAAAACTCTACCAGAATTCAAAAGCGGCTGCAAATTTTATTGTGATTTTACAAAACACACACTTGCTAGTAAAAAAAAGCACCCTTGTTGATATTCTACCTGCATACAGTAGACCTAATGGCTCAAATTTTAACAAAAGCAAAACCTGCACCACCGCGGGCAAATGACAAAATCACCAAATTAAAAAAAAAAAAAAAATGTTGGAGTGCCAGAAGGAGATGTAGAAAATACAAACTGACAGTTCACCAAGAGATAATTGCACAACTCAAAGCCTACAACAATGCAGTCAAACAGGTACGAATTAACCACGTTTCACAACTCATCATAGACAGCAAAAAAAATCCCAAAATGCCTTTTCTACACCATTAATCATTTAAGCGGCACAAATTAAAAAACATTTCCTTTATGACGCCATCAGGGGCCCTTTGCGAGGACTTTGCAAGCCGATTTTAATTTGAATGAAACGTGGAATCATTTGTTGATAGTGATGCCACAACACTACGTCTCCGGCATTGTTGAATTCCCTTTTCCAACAATACCTGTTTTGTTAAGATTGACCCATTAGTTCCTGAGACGAACTATATGATTGCATGGTTGGAATCATCTGTAATGGTTTGCAACTAACAATGCTGCCGATATAATAAGCGGAGTCGCCGACAATGCAACAAAACTACCTTACGAATGCAAATTGCAAACAATAACGGAAGGCTCATAACCGCGGCCTATATATTCTTTCAATCCCGATGTGTTTTGTCTCCACTCCATGTACAGCCGTTCAGGCACAACATTTTCTGCATCCTGAGCACCTGGCTCAACTCAACTCAACTCAACTCAACTGTATTTATAGAGCACTTTCAAACAGCCATCGCTGCATACAAAGTGCTGTACATGGAGCAAATTAACATATACAACAAACAGTAAAGCAAATCGGTAATAAAAACAGTAG